ATATAGATTGTAAAGGGTCATAGAGCTTGCTGTTGATCAGGAATTCGAGCTATACAAATGCTCTTTATTTATTATTATGAAGATTTCCAATTACGCAATGCCACAACAATACAGACAATGTAGAAAAGAAAACGTCCATGAGTATGTTTGTGAGCACATGAGACTGTGTGTGTACGTACGTGGGTATGTGTGTGTGAAAGTGTGTGTCTATTCACATATGTGTGTGCATGCGCGCGTGCGTGTTCGTTTGTTTGTTTATTTGAGCGCGGCTGACTGACTTCCTTCTTAAACCCCTTCTCGATTCACTTTGCACCTCGTTTCAACCAATCCCGAGCAATAATTGCGAAATCTCCCAGGGCGGAGTATTGAATCCCCTCCTATTGCTGCCTCCAGCTCTCACCTTCAGCATTGAACTCGCGCCAACAAGAACAGGGATTGGGGGGGGGGGGGAGGTAGCTTACGTTGATTACCACGCAATTAAAGAACCGAAACAAAACCCGAGGCAAAAACAGCACACAAAAAGAAAAGAGGGCGGAAATTTTGCAGACTGACGCGGGTTCCTGGCCCGCTCCTAACTGTGTTACCGATACCATTATCCTCCCCTCCCCCATCCCCCTCCCCTCTCCATCACCCCATCATCCCCCACCCCATTCCATCCCTTCACCCCGTTGCACCCCCACCCCCTACCCCCCCCCAATCCCCATCCCAAACAGCAGCTGCCTGGAATCTCATACGTACGCAGAACCATCTCGACTATCTCGCGCCGTGACCTCCTGCCAAAGTGGTTGACCTCCAGGCTACCCGTTGTTTTGGCGGGAAGGAGCATTCCCTGCGAGTCTCCGGAAGGATTGTCCGTCCAATCAAAAGAAGCCATTTTCTCATTAATCTGAAGGGGGGTGAGAGCAACCAAAGGGGTTTCGCAATATAAGCTTTTGTTTCAGATGTTCTTCGACCAGCTGCTGTTGGGTCGGTAAAAGTAGACTTTCCCCTACCTCTCTCCACATACACACACATGCACCCTCACATACATACACACATACACTCACACAAACAAACTCCTCTCTCTCTCCCTCTCTCTCTTTCTATCTATCTATCTATGTATCTATGTATCTATCTACCTGCCTCTCCCAAGGTCTTCGCCTCTGCTTCCACTTTTATAAACGTCTTAATAGAACATGGCCCTTTGCAGTAAGTCCAACGATTTGACCAGGAGTTATGAACTCATACAATATCAGTAGGTCCAAATTTGGTTTCTGTTGACACTCCTTACTCAAAGACGTCTGAGAATAGTGCTAAAGCAAATGTTCTCCTAGGAAGACAAACGGGTCAACTCTGGACAAATATAAACTAGATAAAGCAGTAAAAAAAG